ATATAGGTTAATAAATAATCATCTATAATAGTCAAGTTTGTAGTCATGTTAGTTAGCTTACTTAGATGTACAGAGATGTATGTCAGAAAAACAGGCATTCTTCAAACCTTTCAAAGACTATGAAATATGGCATTTAAAATGTTTTAATAGTATAAGACTTTTCATGACAGTGAGGCTATTCTGCTTCTGGAAGCACAATTTTTTAAAGAGGAAGATGGGCAAAGAGAATGCTCCTTATGGAGTAGGTTAATCATTTGGGTATAAAACTGCTCTTGCCTAGACTGCTTAATGAACTGGACATCCAAGACCCACATAGAAATGACTGCTGAACTTGCCTAAAGTTGAGACAATCCTTTGGGGTTCCTGCTTCATGAAAGAGTCTGCCAGGCAGCTCTTTGCCCCATCTATTGCGAGAATTCCCAGCAATCAGACGGTCGACATTCCAGAAAATGTGGACATCACTCTGAAGGGGCACACAGTCATTGTGAAGGGCCCCAGAGGAACCCTCCGGAAGGACTTCAATCACATCAATGTAGAGCTGAGCCTTCTTGGGAAGAAGAAGAAGAGGCTCTGGGTTGACAAATGGTGGGGCAACAGGAAGGAACTGGCCACCATCAGAACCATCTGCAGCCACGTTCAAAACATGATCAAGGGTGTTACGCTGGGCTTCCACTACAAGATGAGGTCCATGTATGCTCACTTCCCCATCAGCGTCGTTATTCAGGAGAATGGGTCTTTGGTTGAAATCCAAAATTTCTTGGGTGAAAAATACATCCGCAGGGTTCGGATGAGGACAGGCGTTGCTTGTTCTGTCTCTCAAGCCCAGAAGGATGAATTAATCCTTGAAGGGAATGACATTGAACTTGTTTCAAACTTGGCGGCTTTGATACAGCAGGCTACAACAGTTAAGAACAAGGATATCAGGAAGTTTTTGGATGGTATCTATGTGTCTGAAAAGGGAACAGTGCAGCAGGCTGATGAGTAGGCCTAAGTTACCAGTTCCAGAAACAAGATCCTGAGTTTTAATACAATTTGGGGTGTCTTTTGGGACAATAAAAGACTTGTATTGAAAAAAAAAAAGTCTGCCAGGCATTCTGAATGACACAGAAGAAATGACAAACTGCCAATATACGTGGAAATGTCTTTGGAATTTCCTGCTTCATGAAAAAGTCTGTTGGACACTATGGGCCTGTAGGCTGAAGATAGATGCCCCAATGGCACAAAAGAACTTTAGGTGACTTTCCAGGCAGTGAGATGTTTCTATAAATTCTAGAGTTTTGAAAGTTGCTTACAATGAACTTTATGTTTACTTAGGTAATATTATATCCTTCTGGAGCCTTTCATAAAGTTGAAGAATAGATAGTTATAGTTATACTTTCTCTTAGGTATGATAAAAGATAAAGTGAATAGAAATATTGTAACAATAATTCTTGCTTGATAACTGTTTTATAATATGTAATCTTATTATGTTAAGGCCTTATTTTGTTTAAACAGAAAAGTGGAAATGGTGTGGGAGATCCTTCTGTCTCTGTGTTGGTTTTATTGGTTAATGAATCAAGAACTGCTTTCAGCCTATAGCAAGGCAGAATTTAGGTAGGCAGGGAAAGCTAGGCTGAATTCTGAGAGAAAAAAGGGTGGGATGAGAGAGACTCCATGCATCCCTGCCAGAGATGGACACCAGAACTTTAGACAGTAAGCCACAGCCATGTGACAATGCATAGATTAATAGAAATGGGTTAGATTAAGATGTAAGAGTTACCAATAAAAAGCCAAGCAGTGATTTAAATAATACAGTTTCTGAATAATTATTTTGGTATAATCTTGCT